GTGCCTACGGAGGTTGACAGCTTTTCTCCAAGCCGGACTTGCACCTATACAAAAGAAAACTAATATCGGCATGTAGGTTTGAGTCACGTGGTCTGCGTTTACACGTTATGCCTCAGTGATATTGCTTTTCAACTGCATGTCCTTTAAACTGCTTAGATGGACGACGTCATGTTAAAATTGTTAAGGGCAGGTGAAATAAAAGAAAACTACATTGTGTTTACTGGCTAGTTGCAATCTTTTTAGAAGCTTGATACGAAAATTCTTGAATGAATCCAATAATTATGTCGCAGAAGCAATTAAGTTACAATTAATACCGAATGGAGTTTTCCATTGTAATGTGTGGGCGTGCAGATTTTGGGAGACTATATCTGTCTAGCATGTTCGCGTACACTTGGAGCGTTTTGAGCTCAAGGTTTATCAAGAGATCTCTCTCACTGAAATATTCGCGTTTACTCATAATGAACTAAAATAATTTCTTCTCCCCTTTCTAGTTCAAACAAAAAGTGTGTTGCAAAAAAGTGTCGATATGTAAAGCTTTCGTTTCAATAGTTAGATTGTTTAAAAGTAAGTACTCGACTAATTTCTTCAGAACTATGCCTGGGATAAATATCTGATAGCGCCAAACAGTCAGTCAATCAATTAAGAGTTAATTTCACAGCGGGCACATAATCAGACGCTGATGTGGGTTGCAGAGGCAAAAAGTCACAATTTGTGAGTTGACGAGGCTTCTGCAGCCTTAAAATTGGCAAACAAGAACTAGCCAACAATACAAAAAAAAAAAAAAAAAATATTCTGAAACACAAATGTTTAATATGAAATGTCAAGAGTTGTAGTTTGCAGGCTTGTAACTTCCAGAAAGCTCACTAACAAAAACAAAGAAAGAAACAAACACGAGTATTAATTGAAAAAAAAAGTATTGAACCTTTTTTTTTTTTAAGTACACGGCAACAATAAAGATTTTATTCGGGTTATCACGAAAATAGCAACACATCCAGGAATATTGCAAGTGGACAAAAAAAAAAAAAAAAAATCTTATCAACAGTCGACTCTAAGTGCAAGCAAATATGCCGATCTAGAAAGATATGTTTGATTGTACTAACATCTAAGGGTCTCAGTATGTGTGCGCAAGCCCCTTACTCATACATATCTACAGGGCACTACTGAACGTAGAAATGTTATCCTGGAGAATTCGACAACTTTAAGAAAAGTAAAAAAAAAAAAGTTCGCTCCTCGCGGAACCTAATTTTCCCCCCGCACGCGTTGAATTAAAATATATGTACCTGGGCATTTTAAATTAGTTTCTACGATATTTTATTGAGCCTTACATGTTTCAAACGACAAAAAGTATTTTTTCATGCTTCAAAAACAAAATTGATCAGCACTATTTCGCACAACAGCGCACAAAGAATGCGTCAAACTTCGTTTTTTTGGGGGGATTTTTGGTGCTACGAGGAGTTTAGTATTATATTGTTTTTATTAACGGCTATTTCAACCTAGAACAAAGTAGAAGGTAGAGGGAAAATCGGGTATACTACCATTATCCGTTGGTGGCTCGGCGTTGGAAGAGAGCGCTATCGCGCTTATGAGGACGAACCCGGGAAACATTGGCGTCGAGTGCCGACACTTGACGTGGTCGCTCTAGCTGCGCCGTCGCACTTTTGTGTCGTCATTGCGTCTGTCTCTTTTCTATCCAACCGGGTTCGATCGCGTCATTAAAAAAAAAATAAGTGGCGAGGGCCTTCTTGATGGATAACCCGAAATTACGTCGTGCGCTATTCGGGTCGGGGGATAGACGCTCTGTCCGCAGTCGCCTTTCCCAACCATCATTTGTTGCCTTCTCTCTTGAGCCTTTTTTTCCCTCCTCTGTCTCCCTTCATTGTATTTATTTTTATTTTTTGGGGAGTTTGGGGGTGGGGGGAGGAATGCCGCTTATACGAACAGGAAACCTATTTCTATAATGTGGCGCGTTCGTCTTTTTTTTTTTTTGCACGCTAATTGTTTTTTTTTTTTTTTTACTCCGCTGTCTCACTGCCCATGCATCATACGAGAGACACGTTAGGCTGTTCGCTACAGATGCAACGTCAGTATCATAGCAAGCATTATTTTCGATGTATTTGTTTGTTTCTTACACGTGTAGAAAGATTTTTTTTTGTACGACGAATGTCAATCTGACAAGGCCGTCATTCAAGGAAGAAACACACCTCCAACACTGTGTTCAGTTATTATTTTTTTTTATGTAATGGCAGCTTGACATTGGCTCGAACGAAGTTATCCTGTAATAAACCTCCTTTTCTCTAAAAAAAAAAAAAAAAAAAAAAAAAAAAAAAAAAAAAAAAAACTTACTAACAGATTGCGTTCTAGGTTGACAGAGATTTGGAGTGTTTTCGGAGTAACGCACGTCATTTCCGGTGTGGCCGTATAGTTGAAGACACTCGGCTGACCACGTCCTCGTTTTCGAGAGCGGCAGTTTCCTCGATCGTGGGATGCTCCGAAGAGTCTCGAAACGTCACATTACGCGCTTCAGTCACTCGCGCGCACGCGCTCGTGTTCTTGGGTGGTTCTCCTCAGAATAAAACTGCACAAGAACTAATAAATCGCACAAGAATAATTGTTGGCTCATTTGTTAATCCTGAGAGGAAACGACATTTTCGTTCTAAAATACACGGTGTTTATAAAAGGACCGCATCCTCTTTGAAGACGTTGTGACTTTACGCGGCTCACAGTGTCTAGTTAAAATGAACTATAAAAAACAAAAACAAAAAAGCGCGTCTACTACTTTTTCGTCGGTGTCCATTTCATTGGCACTTGTGCCGTTGCTTACCCAGTCAACAATGACAGGGTGTTCGATCGATTTATTTCGAAATGAAATGGAGTGGTCCTCATGCACGAAGCGAAAAAATCTGTTTTTTACTGAATTTTTTTTCTTAACGGTATTTTCGGCTTGAAAGACGCTCGAAGCCATACCTTCAAATGTTATGCATGCCATCGTACAAGCCCAGGTCGATTTGTCTAGAAAAAGCACCGCGAAATATATATTTTTTTTTGTTATTGTCGTTGTTGTTTGGGCGTTCGTCGCTTCCTTCGTGATTTTTGTTCTTGTAAACGTAACAACCACGCATTAACCTCAAAATGGCTAAAAGCAGCTGCTTGTAATCGACCCCCTCGTCTTGTCCGTTTCAGACTGCTGCGTTGATGTGTTCGTATTTAGCTAATATATCGTACTGTGCAGGAGAGCGAATAGCTTTCTTTCTCCCGCCAAATCCACCGGTGTATTGTCCGAATAAAGTGAAGGTATACTTTTTTTCATACTTAGTGTACAACGCTGTCAGACCTGCTGCCGGTAGCATGGGGTTCGATTTCGCGGATCATTTTCACCTGTTCTCACACAAACGAAACCATAGATAAAGCCACGCACACGCACCAGTAGCTTTGGCAGAGTTGCACACGGAAAGGGCTGTGTGTGAGAGAGAGAGAGAGAGAGAGAGAGAGAGAATATATATAAATATGAGCGTTACAAAAGAAAACTTTGTGGTGCGTTCTGCCCGGTTGTTCGAAGTAAAGCTCTTAACACAGCACGATGTCTTTAACAAATAACCAAAACTAGCACGCATGAATGTTTCAAATACACTGCGGTGTATTTTTATTTTAACAACTAGCACGCATATATGATTAAAGTACAGTAAAATGTATTTTACAAGTAACGACATTTATTACGTATAGAGTTTTGATATACCGCGCTGTGTATTTTGCGTTAACGACACCTATCACGAATGAATGTTTAAAGTACGCAGCGGTTTTTTTTTTGTTTTTTTTTTTACAAATTACGACAGCTAGCACGAATGGATGTTTGTTTAAAAAAGTGTGTTGTGTCTTACATTAACGACAACTAACACGCATAAGTGTTTAAACTCCAATGAGGCGTTTTTTTTTTTGTTTTTTTTTTTTACAAGTTATGACAAATAGCACGCATGAATGTTCAAAATGGAGTGCGGTGTATTTTATGTTACCGAGAACTAGCACGCACAAATATTTGAAGTACAATGCGGTGTAGCTTAAAAGTAACGACACCTAGCACGCACTGTTTGAAGCAATGTTCCCCGATACATTGGGGTTTCTTTTAGAAGCAACAACTAACACTCATGGATGTTTGAAATACAGCGCGGTGTATCTCACCACTAACGACCACTAGCACGCATTGTTTGAAGCAATGTTCCCCGATACGGTGAGGTGTCTATTACGAGAAACGATAACCATAGCACGCATGGAGGCCTGAAGTACAGTAAGGTGTATTTTACGTTAGCGACAACCAGAACACATGAAAGTTCGAAATACAGTGCGGTGTATTTTTCAAGTAACTACCACAAGCACGCATTGTTTGAAGCAATGTTCTCCGATACAGTGAGGTGTCTTTTACAAGTAACGACAACAAGCACGCATGAGCAAGCGCATTTTATAAGAAAAACATGTTTCGAAAAATGCCCATTCTCATGAATTTGGCAGATACGCTCCACGTGTTAAGCTCGTGAAATTTACGGTAAGTAGATATGAAGCATATTTAATAACGCAGAAATGTCACATCTAAATAATCCTCCGGTAAAAGTTTATACTACTACTTTTTTCTTTAAACGTCAAATAGATTTCTTTTACAAGCCCGCTGTATCCTCAATGCATGAGTTGTGGGGAATAAGCTACCCATTTTGTCGTCCGCAGAATGAAATTGTGACATGAAAACCACCGGTACAAGCTTGCTTGCCTCAAAGTCCGTTCTAAAAAAAAAAAAAAATACAGAAAAAAACGGTACAATCACGCTGCATACATTGGCTGTACATCGTTTATTAGAGAGAACTGGACATCAATTCGTCTTTAGGTTTAGAAATATATCTGTTTATTCAGTCATTTTGGAATGTAAAAACGCAATTGTTGGAAGAAAAAAGTTAAATAAAAATCTCTTTCAGCACGCATTAAATTCACGAAGCGTATAATGACAATAATTGGTGAGCTCCTGCAGAACACTGGAGAGAATGACGCTGTCAACTGGGACGGTTCACACGTCTGTGGTAGCAATGGCGGCTGTTGGAGGACGAGCTGGAACGACATAAAGTTCAACATAAAATGAAAATGCACGTTCTGGCAAGAGCTAACCGAGTACCACCATAATTAGTGATCAACCAAGTAACACCTCTGACCCTTTTGTTTTTGTTCCTAGTGATGTTCGTCCCCATTAACTTGTTTTCTTTGCCGAAAGTTTCTGTGTCCTTTAATCAGCGTCCTCCCCGACGAGGACGTTCTGACAGGCGCATGTAAAGGCAGGTTCACACACTAGCGACTGTTTACGACCGACTGCATTACAACCTCTTGCGATCTCTTACGCAGAGAGATCACACTGGCGTCATCTATCGGGTAACCGATGAACACTTGGCATTTCTGTATATTTTTTTCTCGCATCAATCGTTCTTTTTTTAACTAAAAACGTTTGACAATGTCATAAATACGGTTTTATATATAGTACGAACATATGATCTCGCAGATACCGCTAAACCTCGGCTCTATACTGAATTACAGTTCCAGGGCCACCTCACAGATGGCGCCAGCGTGTCAGTGTGTTCTCTCGTCTTAAGAGATCACAAGAGGTCGCCACGCAGAGTCAGAAGCGTCAACCAGTGGGCTGGAACGAAACGGGAATTGGGGTGCACGTACTTTCGCAGTTGCCGTCGTACATGGTGATGTCGTCCAGGGCGAATCCACCGTCCGTCGCTTCTCCTTCGAAGTGTATCTGCGGAAGGGTATGCGGTCATTTTGAGGTAACATTGAATAGATTACGACCGCAACATCGCAGTACCGCGCAGGGACCTTAGCTGGGATGAGAAGCCTCGGTAAAGCTGCGATAACACTGCTCGCACATCATACTAAAGACAAGGTGTTCACTGCACATGATGACCGAATCATGCGCGGACACGCCTCACGCATGTTGGAAGCATGTTATCTTTATACATGCTTCGAATACGTACAGTTTTTGTACGACCGATGTGATCGTCATAGGAAAAGGAAACCCGCATAATCTCTGCAGATTGTCTTTTGTGTGATGTGTTGGCAGTGTGATCGCGGCTTGAAGGCTTGCCCTCAAAGACACCCGTCACTCCACTATTACGCGTGACTGTAGGTTTTTGGCGAAAGGGAGTGACTTCGTTTAACCGTCTCCAGTTGAAGCAGGACCCTTCCGTTCGGCTAAAACGCTTTTTAGCGTGAAAGGGTGTGGGAAATTCGTTGTTGCCCTCGTAATGGCTTCGAACGAATGCCACCGAATTTGGGCTGCACGATGGACCACGGTACAAAGTGAAAGGCACGCGTGTTTATGAGGACAAACCTTAGCACACCGACATCCTGAAGACGGAATCGATGAACTCTTGTTTGACGCAGTAACATTTTGCTCCGTAGAGCTCCTAATGATTACCACAATTGGGATAGTCCAGCAACGACGTGCTGCTCGATCAAACTATTGCTACTTTGTTGTTCAATCGCACCCTCGCAATAAAAATATAACGTTTTGCACATTTTAGGTCGTTTCCGAGACTCAAGAAATAAAGTGTAAATCTCATCACCTGACGTTGTTTTAACGTGGTTGCCTAGGACAAAGGTGCACGTGACGTGAAACGAAGTTCCGCTACCACGGTTGCCTGAGAAAAACGTACATGTCACGTGACGCAGTGTTACCAAGGTTGCCTAGGACAAAGATTGACGTGAGGTGACATTCTCTTTCCGCGGTTGCCCGAGTTACGAGTGCACAGTTCAAGAGAGCCTCAAAGAGGCGGTCAGCCATTGTTGCGTGCCTTGAAGGGTGCATCGACGGGCACCTTGACCTGTCCGTATCTCCAGTCCGGGCGGCTGGTGTCCATCCTCCGCGTGGACAGCCTCCAGATGAGCACCCTGGGCGCAGCCCCGTTGCCGTTGCTCGACGCCGCTGCCGGCTCCTCGCCCGCGGGAGGCGCTTCGGCGGCCCTGAGCGTGCGAGCAAATTGCACGCTTATTCATTCACGCGCTGTCAGCAGTGTGAGAGGATATATGCTCTGCCTGCAGCTTTCTACTTTTGATGACAGTTGGCAACACGCTAGGTGGCGCAAGCTACCGCACGTTACAAAGTGTATAGCCATTGACATCCGTCCATCCATCTATCCATCAACGTGCACTGGATGCGCGGGGCGTCTGCTGGGAGCCTGTCACGGACTGTGGCCTTTTGCCGTGTTGCACGTTAAAGAGACGCGGCCGTGAGCGTCTCTTTTGTAAAAAGCGTCGTGGTGCGTACCTGAAAACACTGAGCGTGGAGGACTCTCCGCGGCCGAAAGGCGCGAACCAGAAGCTGAGGCAGCGCTCCGTCTCGCCGTCCGCGGCGGCGATCGGGGTGCTGCGGAGCACCGGGTTCTGCACCGAGTTCTGGTTGAAGATGTCGAAGAAGATGTAGCCGGCTGCAGGGGGGATCGAACGAATCGGCAGAGATATTCACACTTTGCATGGAATGCAGTGGCGATCGTTTAAATATAGAGCTTGAATCAAATGCAAGCAATGCAATATTTAAGGAACGATCGTTTAAGGGCTATAATGCATGAAAGGCAATGAGGACCAGGGTGTAAGATAGACAGGTGGGGAAACGGCCCATAGAAGCCTACTGCAGCGCCGTGACCGGATTGTGTACTCGTCTGCTTGCGGGTACCCCCGATTTGCGACAGATGGCGCTGCGGCGAGAGGAAAAAAATTGGAATCGGATTTGCATGGAACTCTATGGAAGAGTGCGCAAAATAAACCGAGAGCACGACAGTCTTCCATTGAAAATCCACGAGAAACCATCTCCGTCAGTTTAGCCGATCACCACCGGTCGTCCACCCGGAGTGAGAGTTCGCGGTGCTCCACATAGATGGCGCCACAGAAAAAGAGAAACCCGAGGGGGACACAATCCGGTCGCTCATTTGGCTCTCGTTTCCCCACCTGTCTATCTTACACCCTGATGAGGACCCATTTTTTCAGAAGACACGAACACATGGCAGTGACACCTGACACCGCGATGTCACGTGACCTGGTCACATGACGTGACATCACGGTGTCGAGTCTTGGTGTCACTCGCAGTGTAACGTGACGTCACGTGTCACGGGGTATGCGCGGACGGACGCGCGGATAGACTTTTTTTTTTATAAAGACCTCTATGCTTTCAAAGACCTCAGGAAAAGTCAAAATTTGTGCTGAGTGAAAAACCAGGAATGCCAACCACCGTGGCGAGCGGGCCGCTCTCAGTTTCAGATGTTTGCGAGATTGGATGGAAAGGGATAAGCTGGTATCCCATTGGTCATGCATCGTACAATCTGCAAACATGAATCACCGTGGTTCGAATGTCGCGTTCCAAGTTTTCTCCTCGAACTCATTGCCACGCTGCATTCGAAGCACGGATCTCGCGATCACTCGCGTTCGAATCTGTGACCAGACTGTCTTTCATTAACTGCCGCTTACGTCCCAAGCGACTTCCGGTCGATCCGACATAAGCAAGCTCGAGCTTGCTTATGTCATCAGTGCTAAAAGCATAAATGTTACGCGGACAACAAACTTGGAAATTTAGCGAGGGCTTTCGGTTGTATATATATTTAACGTCCTGGAGAAGACAAGTTGGTTTACCAGAATATTCGAAAAATTGGAACAGATCTCGCACTTCGTTCTTTTGGCGTTCACCTGGAGAATTGGTGGTTAAGCGTATCTCAAGCAGCGGTGTTGAGGCGAGGTTTGTTTATCCTTTTTATGAATCGGAAGTTCTCTGGGACGTCAGACTGGAGAACAGTCTGGTGGCGTTTGCCATCCAAAAGGGTTCAATAGCGGCGAGAAGTTTTGATGGTGCCCTCTTATTGTTCCCTCCCGTGAGTCGTGACGTCACTACTTTGCGAACAATAAGTTCGATGTTGTTGGTAGTGAGCATTGTGGAAGCTTGGAACTATAGCGCTCACAAACCAACACTGCCAAAAGCGTCAGGTGCTTAGGGGACGCCCAAGCTTCGCCTTTAAGAGTGGAACGCGATAGCGTTATCGGGTCCCGTTCGCAAAGCCTTCTCATACAAACTCCCGCTCGTTCCCAAGTCGGGCAAGCGTGGTGTGCGCGTGGTCCAGTCGATAGTGCCACGTGTCACGTGACGTCACACGTGGCTCTGATGTCATGACCCTATCGACCCGTTAAATTTCGAGGGACAATTTTCTAACAAATTTGGCGGAAAAGTTTTCCGCTAGACTTGGTGGGAAAATGTTTCGTTAAATATGGCGAGAAAGTTTTTCCTCGAAATTTAGCAGCCAAAATTTTATAATGCAACGCGCGCAACCACGTCTGACACGTGGCTGCGCGCGTTGCATTATGGGATTCGTCGGTCCCGCCGGCGTCGACGCCGACGTCGGAATTTTCAGGACATGAGCTCCTATACGCTATCTCGTTAAAATTGAAGTTATTTCATTGCTCGTATTTCCGTTGAAGTGAAATCCTTTGCTAGCGTCATAGTCAGCATTCGGCAAGTCATGGAAGGCCGACAACAGCGACGCTTTCGATTGCGCACGTCGCCAATAGAGGACTTGAGTCGGGAAGGCGTGAAGGAATTGGGGTTGCATTTAGAAAGGTTCGGTTCGGTTCGGTTCAGTTCGGTTCAATTCGGTTCGGTTCGGGTCGGGTCGGTTCGGTTCGGGTCGGATCGAGTCGGGTCGGTTCTGGTCGGTTCGGGTCGGGTCAGGTCGGGTCGTGTCGGGTCGGGTCGGGTCGGGTCGGGTCGGGTCGGGTCGGGTCGGGTCGGGAGGGTAGGATGGAGTGGGATAGGAGGGTAAGGGGTTAGCTGAAAGGTATATTGGGATGCACATACTGGGCGCCCTGTAGGTGTGGTCCTGCAGGTTGGCGGGGCGGCTGACGACGGAGGCGAGCCTCCAGGTGAGGGAATCCCTGGGCACGGAGCCCGCCCTGCCCACCAGGTTGGTGCTGGGCGCCGCGTCCACGCCCGTCGCGTTCGTCCAGCCGCACATGTCCCGCTCGAAGGAGCACTCGCCTGCGAGCGGATGCGCTTCAGTGCACGGGTTTCCCACTCTCCATGCCTTGGACCCCTAGCTCTGTTTTGCTTATTTTATGTTTTTTATTGATGTGACACATGCACAGTACGCGTTGGCGTCTTTCTTGTAGGTGGTGTCATGACACCACCTTTACTGATCAACCATGATTCGGTTTTCTTTGCGTATTCGCCCCTTTTTTGTTTAATAATGAACTCCGTGGCGCCATCTATTGGTTAGCCCTGCACACTTCCGGTTTGCGTATATTTCCTAATTTCTTACTCGCCATTTTTCATCATAAAAGTGAATGAAGTCTGGCAGTGCTATAAGTTGCCATTTCCAGATAATAGACTGTATTTTTGATTTCGAAAATACTGCGAAATTCGCCGTCTAGTTTAAAACCGGAAGTGGTTGGATGCTATTTGCACACTGGCGTTTCCACGTTCCAACTCACGCGAGAAAGAACGAATATTATATTTTAACAAAACGTGCTTTAAGCACTGCACGCAAATATATCTTAGTCCAATCTCATATTTATGCAAAGGATATAGGAGTGACCGAAATTAGTCTCAGGTCCATGAGCTACAAATAATTCTCTACCATAATGAAGACAGTATGTCGCAACGAACAAGGACAGATTTCATGAACTTGCCTGGAATGGCCTTAGCCTTCTCCGGGAACGCTGCGTGAAAAAAAAAAAAAAAAAAAAAAAAAAGAATGACACAAGAATTGAAACGAAAATCATGACATGTTTACTTATGAACTACTATGTTATTCAAAAATATTGCGGCATGGAGCAGGTGTATAACCTAAGTGCGAGGGATAAAAGAGATGGAGCTTTAATAGCTTTACGCGCTATTGAAATAGACGTTTTTCGACAGCTTTGCGGACGCCGCCATAACTGAACTTCATTTTTGTTTTCTTACATTACAAGTTGTTAACCTCCTAGACACCACATCGTTCTTTTCTCCAAGGAATTCTTTGCATAAATTGGTTCCTACTCATTTTACTGTCTGGGCATCTCGGCGAAACAGTAGAAGGTCAGTTATGGCGGCACAATTCTGGTGCGCCGGAAAAGCGTCTATACTCAGTAGTACAGCTACCAAATCAGCTGTTATTTTTGGTCTAGTGAACTCAACATGCTGTATGCGACATCAATCAAGCAAAAGTCATCGAGGTTTTTAAATGGGAAGCTGTCCAGAGGGGAGGGGGGGGGGCTTTGTTTTGTACAAGCCATTTTAACAAAGGCCAGAACGCCCTTAGACGTAACAACGAGCGATAGCAAGAGGAAACAACGTTGTCTGCTCATTTCGAATATCCACCGCACACAAAGTAAGGAAATTAACCTTTACTAACTATTAGAAAGCATACGTTGAAGTATTGAGTTGCTTGCCTTCATCTCCAAGGAACGTTACAAATTTCACTGAAGGGGCGCCACATTTCGCAACTTCACATTCGCGCAGACAACAACCTTGAAACTGTTGAGACTAAAAAAATGAAAAAAAACTTTGATTGCCGACAAAAAAAAACAAAAAAAAAACGATACGTTGCATATCGAGAAGATCGGAAAGCGCTGCTCACTGCATTATACCCTTTTCAAAACCCCATCAAGCAACATAGGTGGTCGCCATTTCTTGAGGATAGTTACAAAACGCAGAGGGAAAGCAAATTAATTTAGAAGCATCATACTTTTTTTTTTTTTTTTTTTTAGGCTAGGTGACGCAAGCTATCGCTTATTATGAAAGGTACAGCCATTAGCATCCATCCAGCCATTGTGCACGAAGCGTGCGATTAGATTTGAGTCCACGCCAAACGTTAATGTAATTCCCTCATGTCCAACATGTTTTCAGAGTCCGTGATCAACCAACGACGGGACTGGATGATTGGCGCAGTATAGTGACTAGATGGTACGCATTTTTGAAAAGGGTATATTGACCGCGAGGCCGGTGAAATGAACAAATGGCCGTATAGCTGACTGTTGCAGTCTCCGTCGAAGAAGCTGACGTCATCGACGGCCACGTATCCCACCCTGCCGTGGCCCCAGATGCCCTCGAGGACCACCTGATACGGCTCGCCGATCGGGGCTCCGTCCGGGAGCTTCACCGGGCAGCGGGCCACCAGCCAGCGATGACCCTGCGTGCGGCGGCTTTCGTTAGCGGACGGACGCCGTAACTAGGGTTTTCAAGTTTTTTTTTTTTTCTAACTTTTTACTCGCGTAAGTTTGTTCAGTGAAATTTTGATAACTAGTAATGCACGTTCTTTGGAAACCTCTGTAGAAAATCTTGGTTCGATACGTTATGAAACCGATGTTTGCGGTTTCTTCAAACAGCCAACGATCTCTTTGAATTGCACTGTAGATCAACTCAGTTAAGGAACTGCCCCTATACGCGGCTTTCACGAAGCTGTAACCCCCCTCCCCCAAGGTCTGCTTCGGTGGTTCGGCAGGCCACCGTTTTGGGGATAGCTGCTATGGTAACTCTACAGTGTGCTCTATGGAATGCGCAGGCTTTTAAGCACAGCGTTCAGGTAGCCCTTCACCATACTCAATACGCAGTTTTGAAACGCAGCCTCTAAATGGTGCTTTAAACTACAGGTGTCGGGCCTGAGGAAGAGAGGGCGGGCACCCACCTTGGTGGGAGTTTCACAACTGAGTTGATCTAGTAACGTTGGTGGCGGCGTTCAGAAGCGTGCTGTCCTGCGGGACGCTCACGGATTGATCGGCTTAGATAGGTTTTCGATATCAAAACATGGCTTCTGGAAAGCATACAGACTTGTATTTCCGGCTGACCTTTTAATACATACACGAAGGGTTTTTGTAGAACGCTATTTTAAATACTCGCAGGAGGCACTAGCCCTTGAAATGGTTTGCGCCCACGAACAGCCGCTCATATTTGCGTTTTGCTTTTGGCTCTCGTCCAACGATGTCAAAGCGTGCCAGCACGTCAAGCATGATCGGCGCACCTGGTGGTTGTTGAGCCTCCAGACGGTCTGGAGCGAGAAGAGCCCCGGCGCGGCGTCCCTGAGCACGTGTACGCGCAGCGAGCCCAGGCTGGGCCCCGCCGGGTCGATGGTGCGCTCGTACATGTAGTACGAGAAGGACAGGCAGCGGGGCAGCGTCATATCGGGTCCCAGCTTGGGGCTCAGGAGCCACGCCTTGGACCCGCCACGCTGCGGGAGGTGCCCAGAGCTCGCCAGGTTCATGTAGTAGCCTGCGAGAAGGGAACCCGTTTGGGGGGGGGGGGGGGGGGATTCAGTCGATATTATTTGGAAGAAGGCCTTTTCCACCTAATACGTCATCAATAGTGGACCCACGCAGCGCCGGCTTAGCATGTGTCAGCATCGCCGTCAACGCATCTCGCAGCGTCTCACAATAAGTGCGACACTACCATGCGGCGACGCAAAGACGGTTGCGTCGTCCCTCGACGAGCTTCGCATGGAAGTAATGTCGCCCAGAAAAGGCAAGAGAAGGACCTCGATGGTGCTGCTTTTAAGTTTTAGTTTTTTCTTACACGCGCCCATAGGACATCGATTTACCTAAACCAAAAGTGATTAAGAGGCGCATTTACCGTCTGGCTTCCGCTTGGTGTGGTCGGCGGGCGGTCCGTTGAGGCCGTAGCTGTACTGGCGCGCCCAGTCCAGGTCGTCCAGCCCGTCGGCAGGGTGAGGGTTGGTCCAGCCGCACGCGTCCTCCTCGAAGTTGCAGTCGCCTACGTGCCCCGAACCGGGCCGAGAGGACAAAATGTACTTTATAGGTAACTATTTGCTATCCTCATTGAAATCGGGCCATTTTGAACCGGAGACCGCACTGTGTCAACGTATACACTTTAATCGGGGTAGAGCTTCTTCAAGGGTTAAAGGGGATCGGCAAGCAAAGATTTCGCTAATGGACTAACCACAGAAAGAAAGGCCGGACGAACTTACCCGAATTTCGAGCAGCCGTCTGTGGAGAGACTGTTGAAGAAGAAAAAAAAAAAAAGACATTGCGTTATAGAGATACTAAAATCTATTGAAAGTAGAAATTTTGGTTTTCTTAATCGAAACATGCTATTCTCTTTCTCTCTAGCTATCTGTCTATCTTTCTTACCCACTCAAATATTCTAAAGAGTAGTCTTTTGTTTTGTTTTTAGATAAGAGATTAAAATGAGGTCGCGAAGAGTCAGTTGCCGCGTCAAAATGAGTTGGCGAAACACCTTCCTTTTTTTTTTTTTATTTCAGTTGTTCAAAAAAGGTCGTTCGCACTCCTGAATTGAGATTGCTAGTCGTGGTTTTGAGAATACTTACTCGGACATGTGCCAACACGAAATGCGATGTTGTCGATGGCGATGTTTCCCAAAGAGTTTGCCCCCACCGTCGCCTCCAGCATGAGCTGCGCAGAAGTAGTACGCAGGCTATCAAGCCGTGGCCTCTATTTGAACATGTATGGGCACACCGCGAATCGTTTCTTCACATACGAAGCCGCAAACACAAAACATATTTTCATAGTTTAGAAAACCAAATACATCCTGCATACGCGCTGTGTAAAGTCAGAACAGGAACGGCGAGTGAAACCCAGGTTCACAAATCGACTGACGACATTTCAGAGTTTGCTCATTCGGTACATGATTCAAATAACAGAAACGCTGTGCTCGTCGTTCTCTATGACGTTCCCCCAAAACTGAAGGATCGCGACCGCCGTATTCGGTTATCACTAAATAAGTGTATGTCGATCTCATAAAGGTGCGGTGCAACAATGCTCAGTTCGAATTTTTTTTTTTTTTTTTTACTTTACATTATCTTACTGGCACTAGTGGAACCCAAGTATACTAGCACGCAACACCACTGGCGAAGGAACTCCTTTGTTTCGGTGTAATTTCAAGGACAAAAGACAGGGTTATATTTTAATCTCTCCTTCGCAAAACTTGATGACGTAGCTAGAGGATCGCGGTATCCCCCAGTGACGATATTTTAGTGCAGCTCATAGATTGGACTTGAGCGTTGCCTGGGCACTCGATTTGGGCTCGCGATAATCAATAGTTCTACGAGTATTCGGGTTGTGGCTCGTGTCCAAACGCTGCAATGACGACAATAGCCGAACCATAACAATGTCTGGAAATCAGCGCACGTCCTGTGCTTTGGCAACCCCGGTGCGTGGCTATGACAAAACATTGGCTGCATATAACTGGCTCCAGACTACGTGGCCGCATTCGACAACCATTGCACAATTAAGGTCATGGGTTATAAACATCAGGGATTCATTCTAAATGGTATGCTTACGCGAAGAGGAAAAACGTTTATCCTTTCCACTTTGGTGAAGACCAGCGAAGCTGTACTATGGTGGGAATGAAGTAATGGCCGGCCGCAAGTCGGCACGCCAGAGTGGAAAGGCTCGAAAGGTTGCGCCATCTATGAGCGACGGCGGCAAGCGGACAACCGGCAAACGCAACACTCTGGACAGCTACCGCCATCTATGAGCAACGGCGGCAACCAGGGTTTTGTGTCAACATGACTTTGCGGGGGACTTGATTCTGGGGAAACTAGCCCTTAACAGCTCCGCTGTAAAAATCGTTGCACCGCCCATTTAGAGGGGTACGGAAACGAAATGACGTGACCGCGAGCTCTCTAACCGACGCTCCAAAGTCGGCCAGCGAGAAGCGCGTGATTATGACGTCAACAGTTCCTGCACGGCCGAGGGCACGGCCGAACTGGATACGCGCTCGCTGTCTAGAAAAGAAGCGCTCGAACCCAGTCCGGCCCCGCCGAGGGTACTGTGGTTGCGAGCGTTGTCGCTTGGTGGCGTCAACGCGTGACAATCTCGCCTAGTAGTAACACCCAAGGTCTGTACACGCTATGGGCCATGGCCACCGTGGCCATGGCCTAGACATAGCTTCCCCGTAACGTAATTCGCGGCCATGCCGTTATGTGATCTGCCACGAGCGTTCGGTTCACCGTGTTAGTTTCATACCGCAGAAGTAGTAGCTCGAGGGACTCCTTAGATAGAAATAACCGTCAGTACCCAGCAATGGCGCCACCTGCAAGCTAGGTATATAAGGCATTCTCACTGGGTGCCATATTTCAGCGCGCTATTCACTCTGCATCCGAGGGGGGAAGGGGGGAGGGGGTACCCGTCACGTGGTGTGGTTGGCTTGGCAGAGGTCCCTGCATCCTTAGATCAAGCTCCTACCTAACGTCTGTAAAGAACGGAAATCTTGATGGTCTGTAATGCACTTTGCGGAAGTACTGCCGAAGCTTTAACATGATATACAACGTAGTAAACGCGTTAGCGTTCACCGTTAAGTCACATTCGGGGCTAAGTAACTCTACGAGAGTCATACTGCGGCGAACATTGCGCTGCGTCTTAGGAACTCATGACGTGACGACATTCCAACAGAGCTTCACAGACCTCCACCAGGCACAATTGTGAAATCTGTTACTTTCTTTTAAAATTAGTTTTCTCGTCTTTTTTGCCGGCAGCCCAGAAACACTACTAGTCTATAGGGTATTGTTTCTGGGCTGCCGGCACAACATAAACCACATCTATAGACAAAGTGAGTACAAACATTTCGTTTCTGTGCGGCTGGTTTCACACAGCCCTCTTTTCTTGCGTTAGGTTAAAAAGGCCATGAAAGGAATTTTGGGCTGGGATAAATAATTTTAGATTGAGAATTTACTAATCGCATATCGTTTTGGTAGACCAGAAGAAATAGGGTAGAAATTCAAAAACCCGCTTTTCGGTAAGAATATTAAAAAATATAGCGGATTATAATTTATATCGTACCTCCTGTACCTCGAGAGCACGCCGCCTTTTCACTATGATGCATCCGCAGTACCCAAAGCACGTCAGCCGAGCCCAGCTCACGCATTGGACACGAGAACTGCGTCACTCGGACGTTTGCGCTCGTCAACAACCAATCCGTCGACGAATATTCGGATTAGCGTTCTTGGCCAATGAGTGCCCTGATGGAACTAATCATCATTTGCGAATGGCGAGTTCTATAGTCTGCTTAAAAAGCACGTTGGAAGCTTCGAGTCCTCGCACCGGTGTTGAAGCATGTCACCACAACATGCATTCTTAATATACCGATCTCACCGAGCGTTCGGCGCATTCGTGGCACCGCCATAACTTTAGTTCGCAGTAGGAAGGCAGCAGTGCACAAGAGGGCTCGTGTCACCTCGTGCTCTGCACGAGCAGAGCTCCGACGAGGTTGTCGCACGTGCAGGAAGACCTAATTTCTTTCGATGCATTGCGGTAGCGTCACCAAAGTGGCTGGTGCGTTCGGTCTATTCCCTTTTCAGTTGATTATTCAGGCTAATGTGGGAAAAGTTTAAAAATAGTTTCATGGGCCCTTTAATTTAAAAAGGCTTACGTCTGCATGCTTACGCCACAGTCACCGAAACATCTATGATTCCTATTCACCGCGGCTACCAGCTCCGGAAGATAGACGGGCACGCGACATTCGAGACACTAACGTTTCGGTGACTTATACTTAACGTAAGCCCCGTTTTCATCTCTTATGTTACGTTACGAGAGCTTACGTCTACATACGACAAGAGTCACGAAGCCATCTGTACTTCGTACGAAGCATGGTAACTAGTTTAAGGAGCAACTTTGCACGCGACCGTCGAAGCACAGATGTCCCGCTGATTCATAACGTAACGTAAGAGAACGTAAGCCAATGTGCGTGAGTGAACTAGCCTTTACTGTAAACGCAACATACAAAGTGGAGCCACAAGCGCACACCCAGGAAATTATGCTCCAGCAAAACATTGCAAGTAAAGCCAGTCGAGTGTCACTCTGCGCTGACGTCTTTAGTTCGCCGTTCGTTCGTAACGAGAAGGAGGCGCTCATTTGGCGCGCTCACCGTGAACGGCTCGGTGGTGGCCACCTGCACCTGGGCCGTGTACCAGCTGTTGCCGGCCTCGCCCGTGATCTCCCAAATAGTCCTGGGCGGCGTCTCGGCGCCCTCGGCGTGCTGCAGCACGCGCAGTGTGCCGATGCCGTTGCCGAACATGTGCGTCGCGAACTTCATGCACATCGGCAGGTTGGCCCCTGCGAAAGCAACAACGCACGCAAACAGATTGTGGACCCTGGACAAGACGCGCCATTTTATTTGATAATCATCGCCAGAACGTTGGGCTAGGTTACTTATTACTTTTATTTCTCGGACAATTCACTGTGTGTGTGTGTGTGTGTGTGTGTGTGTGTTATCTCTAAGAAAACATTCCTGTACGCGCTTTGTTTCCTTGCTGGAAATGATATATAGACCGATCTTGCAGCAAGTTTGACTACGCCACCGTTGCCGCAATGCATCGAGGGAACTTTAGCTTTTCTGAAGGTGCGACAGCCTCGGTGGAGCTCTGCACGTGGGCAGCATGAGACAGTACAAGCCCTTTTGTTCATTGCCGTTTGCCTCCTGTGTGCACTGTCTCCGATCTCACGAAGCGTTTGGCATGCGCCGAACGCTTGGTGAGATCAGTCTAACGCAGCGATGATTCCAATCTAACTCACAAGACCGTTGACCTCTACCTAGTCTTTTGCTGGTGTGTTTGCGCTTCACATCATACAGTTTCCGATAAAAGTGTGAATGAATCCGCGCCTCGAGTAATTCACACGGCCAACATAAAGGTACCTTTAACATAGGTCCCATTGCTGTAGGCGAATCAGTCCATGCTCTTGAGTCGCGAGCACACGCCACGCGCGGAAGATCGCTAATTGATTGGCCGCAGAGAATAAAGGTCCCTTAGCTAAAGGTACCTTTACGGTCGTGTGGATAGGGTATTAGACCTTTTCCATGGCAAACGCCACCAGGGGGTGCTCCAGTGTTGGACGCCCCAGAGAACTTCCGGTTCATAAAAATAATGAACAAAGGCAACCTTTACACCGCTGTTTGAAATATCGATGAAACATTTAACCACTAATTCTCCAGGTGAACACACAAAAAAAAAAAATGAAGGAGCGCGAGATCTGTTAAAAAATGTTCGAATATTCTTGTAAATCGATTTGCCTCCTTGAAGACCTTAAAATGTACAGCCGAAGGTCTTCGTTTAATCTCCAACTTTGTTGTCCGTGTAGCACTTATGCTTTCTAGCGCCGGTGACATAAGGAAACTCGACAGGCTTGCAAGGACGGATCGACCAGAAGTCGCTTGGGGCGCAAGCAGCAGTTCATGTTTTGTAAACAGCCAATGGTTTTTATATGCAACCACTTTGTCAGCTTCTTTTGCGGATTGTGCTTTAAATTAAAGAGGTGCAAAATAAACAGAAGCAAATGAAAGCACCCGAGTGTTCTTTTCCTTTTTTTTTTTTGCTGAGTTGTGCTAGGAAAGGTCACCCGTAGCCTTGAGCGTCGGGCTGATGAGTCTGGCTCGGTCCATGGGTCGCCTCGGAAACGAAGAGTCAATAAAAATGTAACCGCCTGCAAGAAAAAAAGAAAAAAAAAAATTAAGAAGGGGGAGAAAAAAAGTAATTTGCGACACAGTTTAGTTGTTTTTATTCTCCGAAATTGAAAAATCTTACAAGGTAAATTTTTTATTCCGAAGTTTCTTTTTTACTAACCATCGTCAAAATAAACTGAAAACATGTATCTGCCTGACAACGATTGTGGGCGAATTTTGAAGCTCTGCACGGGATTTTAAACACCGCTACCAATAAAGAAACAGCTAAAAAAAGGGACACATGGGAAGGCAACATCGAAATAACTAGCACTATGAGAAAAAAAATATATAAGAAGGGAAAGAATGCAGTCGAGATGAGCAAGAAACATCATAATTTAATCCGTGGGACAAGGAGAAATAAAATACCAGGCAAGACGACACAAAATCTAAATTTTGTGTCGTCTTGTCCGTTACTTTAATTACTCTGCGTTTGAAGCCTGTAGACCTATGAAAAAAGTATTTAATTAGGTTACGGTTAAGCGAATTTATCTAGAAATAACAGATTTTTTAAGGGTTCAATATCTATGATACACGAAACCTTGCAGCGGGTTAGAAGGAAGGCCGACTCCTCCAGCATTTCTGGCGGAACAATGAATTAAAATAAAACCCAACTCGTCCCTCTGAGCTTAGTAAAAAAAGAATATATATATATATATATATATATATATATATATAAATAAACGCGGAAAACACTGAAGTACAGGGCAGGTAAACTGAACTGGCGTTAGAACACGACAAACCACTGAACGAGCGACACGCCGTATAACCCTGCGTGATAAAAGCCGAAGAAAAAAAGCCGCCCGTGCCGTGCAGTCCACACGCATGCGGCGCTGAGCCCCACCCGTCATCTCGTCCTTGCCGAAGCTGCTGTAGTCCCTGGAGGGCCCCGTGAGGAAGCTCTGACTGCCCCTGCCCTGCTCCCAGTTGAAGTCGTCGTCCGTGTCCGCGTTCTGCCAGCCGCAGTAGCCGCCCTCGAAGGTGCAGTGGCCTGGAACACAACGGATGAGCCGATACGCGTCATCGAGAGCACGCCAAACACGCTCCATAGTCGGGGACAGCCGAAGAAACAAGGGTCGAGCCCCGAGTGCATCTCATTAGCGCTCCGGAGCCAATCATGTTTCGGCATTAGGAGATAATAACGCCCAAGATCATATACCCTCCCATATACCGACAAAGCCTGGCAGATCGCCACGAGAAGCGGACGCCGAAATGGAAAAGATGGAGCGGCGGACAACGGATAAAAGGAGAACCAAGTGACTGGCGCCCCGCTGCGGCCAGGCGCCGAAACACACTTCTCCCGAGCGAACAAGTGTGTTTCGGGTCCTCGCCGTTGCAAAAGCTGTGCGCTGACGTCCAAATTGCTCTAAAGCCCCTCTATCCTGGGAAGAGTGACGCCATTCATTGGTGCGCAAATGCTTGAGACACGTAGTGCACGTCACTTCCGGGAAGAACTTGGCGTCTGAAATCTAGCTCAGTACTGCGCTGTGCCGCCATGATCTTCTCAAGGACTGCACGTTGCACGTGCCTCGTGTATCGACGCACCTTGCGCTACTTTTGAAACATGGAGTGGCTTCAGGTTCCTCGAGAAATGGCTCCGTGATGCTCTGTGCTACCACATCCTCGCGTTCGAAATCTACGACCGGGCACTCTATGGCCCCGTCGTCGAACTAAGAGGCTTTGTGAGTATGGGGTAGGCTGTGCCAAGATTAAGTCGGAAAGAGCAAAAATGATAAGCTACGCCCCGTGTTTTTTTAACTCTCCGTTACTCAAATGATTGGAAAATAACGACGATGGTCGAAATGCCTAACGGGCATAGCTGGACTGGTCCGAGGCTATAGCAGTTCCGCGGATCCAGTGTCCGTGCTCGAACGAGAGACTGGGCGTACCGAGGCAGTTGTCGCCGGCTTCCTCCATTCGGTCGAAGAGGATGTCGTCCAAACCGATGTAGCCCCTGAACTTGCGGGCCGGGTCGCCGCGTCTCTTGGGAACCGCCTCGAACCAGATCTGCGAGGGGAGGACGCGCAAGGCGATCACTCAAGCTCCGCAAGGTAGCGAAGAGACGTAGCAGTTGGGGTTACTAACCTTTTGAAAAAATAAAGTTTTACCACCACCACCACCACCACCTTACGGGGCTCCGCGGCGTCCAACTCAAACATGCGGAAGCTGTTTTTTTTTTTTTTTTATGTGTGAAAACACGAATTTGTTTTTCAGTCAATGTCATAGTCAATATTGTGGGCTAGTTGTTCCATCACTTGAAGTTGTTCGCGAAGTAAGCACGTGGATCACGACTATCGACAACGAAGCAGCACGCTTAAAATCACGCTGACAACTAAAGGTTTATTGAAAAACAAAGCTCATTAAACTTGTGCTTCGTTTCGGAGCGTTCCCCCCTCAAACCGCCCCCCCCCCCCCCCAAAAAAAAAAAAAAAAGAAATGAAAATGTGAGTTAGGGTTTGTTTTGTGTGCTTTTTTTATCGTCTTTGCGTGCTTGCGCGCTCTTTTGTTATATTTTATATTTGCTCCGCGCACAAACATTCGATAACCACGAGTTCACGATTAAAAAGGAAACGTTTGACACGCGTAATTTTCGCAACCGCGAGATTTCGTTCCGTGGTTGCCCAAGCGGCCAACATTTTCATATATATTATGTGTGGCAAAAGGACATAGTGCACGTTCCATGTACAGGCTGTCTTTTAAAGCTTAACCGCTAATATTTAATGAACGTTAATTAATTAATTACTTAAATTAACAGATGCTGTATCTATTTATTTATATATTTATTTTATTTTTAAGATGGTGGGCATCAGCCTGTTCGACGAAGTGTGTAGGCCTATATGAAAGTGGCAAACACTTTTATATAGTGGGTGCCAAAAGGACATAGTACACGTTACATGTACAGGCTGCTTTTTTAAAACTTAACCGTTATTATTTAATGAACATTAATTAATTAATTAGTTAAATTAACAGATTCGGTACCTATTTATATATTTATTTTATTTTTAAGATGGTGGGGCATCAGCCTGTTCGACGAAGTGTGTAGGCCCCGAAGGGATACAAGGGGTGTACCTGGTGGACGTCTCCGTACGTGTAAGCCACCTCGCCCTTGGTCCAGCGGCCGTCGTAGTTGTCCTGGCTCTCCCAGACCGTGATGTTCGCCGTCGTGGCGGCGTCCATGATGACCACCTTGAGTCGGTCCACGCTCAGGCCTTCGAGCGCGTAGAAGAAACTCACGCAGAAGCCCTGCGGCCCTGGACAGATGCACGGACGCCGTTGAAAGCGCCACACTCTCAAGAAAAAGGGTGTAAAAGGGTGTATTGTTACACCCTTTGTCCTATGTAGTACACCCCCAAACTTCATTTCGACGAACACAGCCCTATAGTCGAAAAGACGGCCCCAAATTTTACAAGGGGCTTGATAACCAGCGCGATATAACTTATTAAACAACTAAAGTACGTATCAAAGACCACATAAAGAAAACACCGAGTTTTTACAATATAACAAAAAAAAAAAAACCGATTTTTTTTTTGTAGTCAGTAAATTGTACGTTAGGTATTTTAATAAGTTGTGCCGCATGGCTATCAAGCCCCTCGTAAAATTTCTGGCCGTCTTTTCGACTATAGGGTGGGGTACGTCGAATTGAAGTTTTGGGGTGTATTTTATGCGGCAAAGGGTGTCACGATACACCCTCTTACACCCTCTTTTTCTTGAGAGTGCAGTCTGATCGAGCTAAGTGCAGGGCTCCGAGAGCAGCCGACTCTAAAAATCCGATGGAGCAAATCAAACGTCGCCAAAAGTGCACCGTGACGGCTCTACTCGTTTTTGTGCCATCACCGTTTAAACCAATCACGCACACTGAATGCGCCGTTTTATTGCGCTTGGTTTTGTGCGTGATTGGTTAAGCCGCTTTTGGGAACGCTTGATTGGTGCACCCTCCGGTAGTAGCGTCGGCTATGCGCTCGGACTTGGCGGGAAACGAAGTAATATTCGGAGCGCAAGTTCGTCTACTTTTTGTACAGGGGTCGCGATGATGTCAGAGCGCCTGTTTTTATTGGCTGATTGAAAAAAAAAAAACAATAGTGGGTAGACCTCAAGGCATCTAGCATTGGGGTGTGACCACTATACTTTCAATCAAAGCCAATCGGAGCTCGACGTTTTTCTGACGTCACTGCAACTCCTGCGAAAAAAGCAGACGACTTGCACTCCGCGTATACAAAATGTCCCCCCAATTTTTTTTTTTTTTTTTTTTGCTGCAAAACTAAAATATGCATAGCCGAGTGCTCATCCTCAGCCCAGATGCAGCACTATGGAGGTCAAAAAGAGATGCCAAACTTTCAGGACTAACCGTTATTTTATTCAAAATTTCTGAGTGATTTTCTGAAAATTTTATTGGAAAAATGGCAGCCGACGGAGGGCTCTCGAATACATGGAGCTCTATGGCTCCAGAAACCGGAAACGGGTGAAGATGTGCGCCATTTTTCCCATTGAAATCTTCCGAAAATCGCATAACTTTTGAATATGATATCGGTTCGTGCTGAAAGTTTGGCATGAGTGGTTCGGACCTCTGGTGCTGCATTTGGGCTAAAAATGAGCATTCAACAATGCATATTTTACTTTTGCAATAAAAAATAAAAAAAGATCTTTTAAAGTTTTGGGGGACACTTTTTTATTTTACTGTGTTTTTATTTTTATTTTCCGTAACGCTAACCACCGAGTGGGTTGTGTGCACGAGCTAATTGCTTTAGCAAGTACGGTGTGGTTGAGAGAAAAGAGAACGCTCAATTTCAGCTCAAATATAGGACTATCAGCATTCGGGACCAACTGACAGAGTCTCAGAACCTGTCCTTATCTAATCGAAAAGTGATAAGCGATTTTGGGAGATTTTTGTTGAGAAAATGGTGGCCTACGCGAAGCCCTTGGGTGTATGAAGATCAGTGGTGTCTGCTACAGGAAATGGACCCCATTATTTATTAAAGTTTGTAAAATATAGTCTAGACATGACTTTTAGGTTACGTAGCGGTATACGGCCTGAAACTTTGCTATCTGGTCCCAATTGGTAGTGCTACATTTAGGCGGAGAACGAGCGTTTCATGATGCATAATTTATTGTTACTTAAAAAAAGACAAAAAACAAATGCTTCTCTTCACATTTACACACTGGGTACATCGATCGTATTGATAGTGCATAGGGAAAACTTATACCAAACATCATTGCATGGAAAATGACAGCATTCTGTGCAGAAGCCTGATGTCCCCTAACGTTTGCTTGCTTTCATTACCAACATCAAGGATTGCGTCTTTACAAGAAACTTTATTTATCAGCTTTGGCCAGCGCTTTACAGCGTTTACAAACATTTCTTAATTACTAAAGCCAGCTTGACACTTCCCTTGGTTTGAATGCGTGCTCAAAAACAAAAAAAACACACAAAAAAAAAAAAACACGTCATCTTGGGGAATCAAAGGCTGTGTTCGCGTGATACTGGCCAGTCTCAAAGTAGTTGTTTATAAAACCAGAGAAAACTTGATGGGAACACCAAAGCATGCATATTTTCGTTTGGTAGGAAGAGGAGGGCTCGATCAGTTGAGTGGCGGCCCCGTATCAAATGGCCACACAATTACGAACATATAGTTATTGCCTAAGAAACGAATAGGTCTGTGTGGTTTGTCTTCCTAGGTGAAATAGCTCCCTTCATCTCCAGCTTTCAAAACCCACGTGACTTTAAACTTTCAACTTTATTGTATCCCTCCTGTGGAGAGGGGGAAACCAGACAGTTCTCGCTTGACATGGTCCAGAGCACAAACGTTTTCCAACGTTCGTACACTTGACGATTAAGGAGGGGAGTCCATTTCACAGTAAATAATTTTTCCAAAGTCCCATCTTCAAAAACCCTAATTCGCCGAACCCCTTAAAAAATTCTCGGTTTTCAGGATGTGCCGACGTGTTTACTTTTTTTTAATCAAAATTGTTTTGTCAAAACGCTGCTCCTTTAGAAGCATGACTTTCAAGTGACCATGTCCCTGGCCTTTTAAACCCGGCGGTATTAGCTTCGGCTGTCTAACTGAAGAACCATCTCCAGTCGCTAAAATAGAGATCTATTAAACGTCAGTATTTTGTTAAAATGATAATCAAAGAAGCGGAGTTCGAGGAATCGTGGTGAGGACATTTTTGCCGCCAGAATGACGGACACGTGCGCATGAATACGACTTTTTTTTATTTTATTTTTCTCTCTGTCTAACGCTCGCCATTTTTTTTTTTTTTTTTTGCGACTTGTATTTTCCGGTGTTTTGTTTAGACTCTCCTCGAAATCAAAACACACCGTCCATTTTTAACGAGGTAAACGTCGACGCGAAAAGACAAAGGAGTCTCTTCCAGCATTATGAATAGGGTGAAAAGGCCCTAACGCAGGAGAAGCGGAAGTTGTCCCGCACTCTCGCTTCTGCCATGCCCGTAATAAAAAAGAAAAGACGAAAATATAAAAGCAAACTACTCTATAGAGGTACCTTTTTTTTTTAAACTTCTCTTTATTATCCACTGGTTTAGCCGAGGTAGAGGTCTTGGGGGGAGGGAGTTGAGGATTCTGCTGTAACTGATGTCATTTTGTTCATATTCTAGGAATACTTGAATGGGAGCTACTCGTATTTCTTTGCAGACAAATTAATGATATATCAGAAGGATCACATCGATGATCGCTGCTAATGTATTAAGATGCGAGTGACAGCTTTTAAGTCATTATTAATTAATTAAGTAGCTTCGTTCTTGTCAAATTTCTGTCAGCTCAGAAAGCTGGAAAGTAACACGTACTCTTTAGCTCTTTCAGTCCGACCCAGTCACTGCCCTACAGGCGATTGAATTAGAACACGAAGTCCAAAATATCTTGCTGGTCAATACGTCGCTTATATATGCAACAGTTTAGTGACATTTCAATCTAGACTTCGTGACTCCGTGCTAGAGTCCAAATCTTCAGCCCGTAAGGTGTCTATATATGTCTCCGTTCGTGCGAGCTAAACTTTCTCCCCTACGCTTTAACGTGCTCCCAAACCTTTTTGCCGTATTCCTGTCTTTTTTATTTATTTCCATCACCCACTCCACCCGTGCACTCCCAATCTTGACCTGGGTTAAAGCTGATGCCTTCCTTTTCTGTTCTTGAAAGTTCTTTCATTTTGATGCTACTTCAGCTCGCATGGCTCCCCTTTTCTTTGCCCTCCTATGCTCTCTAGATGCCTCTTGACGCCGCAATATGGCTGATTTGACCTCCTTATCCCCCCTGCTTTTCGGTTTGAGTCTTCGTTTTTGCTTTCCTCTTTGTTTAATTCGATGCTTCTCTAATTCTCTTTTAAAGATTCCCGTAAGGTGCATTTGAACTTCACTGTCTCGGCTTACCCCCTTGTTCCTGAGATTGTTGTTAAGTTTCGGATGCACCAAATGTAATCTTAATTCTTTAAGCCACTCCCTAAGCTTTTTGTACCTTCATCATCTATTTCCATACTTCCTAACCCGTCGTACAGTTTGTGGGACATGAGGTGGTAGTTGTTTCGTTTCCAAGTTATTTTCCCATCGCCTTTTACTTGTTCATTAAATAACACTAGGTCCAGGGCATCACAGATATCGTCTAGCAACTTTCCGATCGTATCTGTGAACCCTTCAAACTCTTCTAAGTGGGAATTCATATCTCCTACGATAATTATTTTCTGATTAATGCCGATTTCTCTGATGTCACTCGATATAGATTAAGTGTTTTTTTTTTCTATTTTCCTCCCTTGAGTCATTTCTTGTCTTCAGGTAATCAAAAACCCAGAAGAGTGTTCAGACCTGTTACTCTACTTTTTAGCCATAAGTGTTCTCTGCAGCTTTCCTTCTCTCTTTCCCAGTCTTGTCATTTAACTAACATGCCTAGACCTCCGCCTTTGCTTTCACCTCCCCTCCGGTTGCATCCCATCCAGGAGTAGCCTGGTATGTACGGTGGTTCCTCCTCATCTCTAAAGTGCGTTTCTGCTACCCTATACACTGTGAAATTTTCAGCCTCTAAATGTTCACCAATCTAATCCCACTTTATTTCGTTTCTACCTCCATGCATGTTTATAAACCCTATATTGAGCCGATTCTTTCTCTTCTACTGGGCTTCCTCGTGCTATCTCTGCTGGTCCTGCGGTGCCAACACCCAGGAGCTTCTCGCGACTGTGGTACCGGTGCATATTTAGCAATTGGTGCATCTACACTGTGGCCCTCAGGGCTCTGTGGGTCCCCAAACAAG